GGGATGTCGTGTGCAGCTTTCACGGCAGGCGTAGGTAACCACGCATGTTCTCACTGTCGTAAAACAATGGCCGTCACCAGATATTCTGAACTCTTATGGGGTTGGCTTGGTGCACTGCATGCTGGGATACTGCTATATCGCCTCGTTCTGTTCTGATTACCATCGGCCTGTTGAGCACCTCAATTGGACCCCGCTGCAGTTACCCGTGAGGTCTGAAGTGCTCCCGCTGCTCAAAGTTCTTTGCGTATATGTCGCTCTTGAACATCAGAAGCGAAAACCTGTTAGTTCAAACCGCACGCCTTAAAAACGCTTCAAATTCTTCGGGACAAGCCCCAAAGTCTTCAGGCTCTTTGGGATTGCTTCGAGTGATGTCTAGCATTTCAAGGTTTCCATACTGAAGAAGGTGCATAGCCTTATCTTATGCAAATACACAATGCCCGAAAATTCAATATCTTGATTTAAGTCTCCTACCGTAGTAGGCTCTAATGGCTCAGCATCCCACGCAATGTGTTATTTTATATACACCCTTATGGTATTCCTACAATATAGTTTGGTGCTCAAACCTGTCATACCAAAATTTTTCATTTATGGTCTCGCTTGATAAGCACTGAGCCATGGTTTTAATACGAACGTGACACAAAGTTTCTCTATGTTTCCTAAAAGAACTCTTGCCTTCCCCTGCCTGCAGCCCTCAACGCTACCAACGAGAGGGAGAGGAGAGCTAGGTTGTGCATCGCTACACCCTACAAGCATCCCGGAAAAGTCGCAGCTAGTTGGAGACAACCTTTATCTCAGACGCACGACATTGCGTCATCTTGCGACAAGCTTTAGTATTGTGCAGTTAACAAGATGTACGAACAGCTATTGCAAAAAGTCAATTCTTCACCAGATGTACTTAAGATAATCGCTGCACTGAAAGTGCATAAGTGTAGCTAGGCCTGCTACATCTTGGCCCCTCTCTGCGTTGCGAAACTCACGCCCACTTGTTCTGTACCTGTCCGTGGAGACCAACCATGCATACCAGAGCCCCCAAATTTCCGCCTTAGTGCCACTTCCCATGCAGGCAAAGATGTGAAAAGCGTGACTGATAGACGCAAGAAGCGTATGATCCGCGAAGAGACACACAAGGTAGTTAAGACACAAACACTAGCCAGAAAGGAAAGAAGGACTGAATCAACGAACACAAGGCAGCGGTGACACAGTCCACTGTCATTGGCGAAGTAGAATATATCAGCTTCCTGCTAAGCAGAAAACATATGGTGAGTATAAATGTGAAGAGGATCAACTTACGCATTTGGCCAGCACTGCTTCTGTGCATCATAGAACCGCTACTGCATACCAGGACACCCTTTGCTTGCAGTTTAGTCGATTTCAACACTCGAACAGGCATAATCAGCAATGCAGAGACAGCATATTGAAGAAAGAGTGCGCATAAATCTGAGTGTAGACAGCATCCTGCAATAATGACTGGAATATTTTTCCAAGCAATACATCTAGCCGAAAGTTGTTATTTCCGGCAGAACATGCGCTGGGGAAGCGGGGTCACCAAGGAGCTTCTCGTCCATGGCAATCAGGATTGCCAAGCAAAGAAAAGCGCAAATTTCACCGCAGGCAACAAATCCTGCACCCGAAGCCCCTCTAAGCACTGAAGTTTGCTTGTTGTATCCCTTTTCACTTGAAACTTTTAACCTGGTATGTCATCGGCGCCCAGTGGTCCTAGCTTCCAACACCTTGACGAGGCGCTGTCGATTTCCCGCAAAACACAAGGGCCATTTGCATGCACGGCACTGTCCGCGAACTACCCTGAACTTTAGGACTACCTTAGGAGTGAACCACTGATAGTTTTACCGTACCTTTAACTAAGAGGAATCGATGGAACGAGAAAGAACATTGGCTTGTGAGGGAGCTAAGAGTAGCCCTAGCCACTTGGCTCAAGTTGCTTCATCCGATCACTGTCTGTTGCACAACAGAGAGCATAACGATCCACCTGAACCAGATTACATTGCTTCACGAGCACAGCCAATCGCTGCAGATCGCTAGCACGTGCTTGTAGCTCTTGAGCTTTGCGCATACATTCGCCTGCTGAAACCACCCAGTACTGTGGGTGCCTAGCACTACGGTTACATGGGCTCGTCAACGGAGATTTGCACTAAGGAAATAAAAGACAACTGGGCAACTTTAGGAAAAAAGCCCACAAATGAGTATGTAATAATCCTTGACGTTAGTTCGACATATTGCCGCATTCCTGCTGGGGCTCTGTGGGTGGCAACAAAACACACACAGAACTATGCCGGATAGTCAGTCTATCCGACTCAAGGGTTTCAGAACTCGGCTATTGTTTGTTTCAATCAGATGGGTGATTCTAAGATTAACTTTAGTATCAACCGTTGAGTGATCTTAACGCAGTGGCAGCTTGAAGTACCATCTAGCACCTCGGATGGTGAGCGCTTCAACCTTTGCGTAGACCAGGTATGACCGGGAAAACAGGTGGACAAGTGCACTGTTGGATCGTAATTTTAGTGCATGGAACAGAATCAAGCCAAGCAGTTAGTTTTGTTAAGCATGAAGCCGGAAACTCTTCCAAGGGCAGCGTTAGGTGCGATCTGCCTGCTCATCTGCCCCTAACTGGTTTGTGGCGGTCATATTATCGCCATTCTGTATGAGGCTCATAAAGGTATTTCATAACACAGTGACGAGCTTCGGATTCATTCCTGTAGCGTACTCCTGGAGAAGTCGTGAAAGGGCCCGAGATTATTTTGAAATAATTGAAGAACTTTTCGAGCTGTGATATTGCTGAAGCAAGGGAAAAAAAGTTCTTGCTTGTTTCAAACGACGTAGCTGTTGTCCTAGCCCTTAACCTCTGACAGTCCGAATAAAGCGTTTATTGCCATAGTTCCGGAAGCACAATTGAACTAATGAAAAACGAGCACTGTGTACCGACAGTTTGTTTCGCAACAGCTGAAGCGCACGCTATATGTGCTGTGGATGCTTTTGACCGTTTTGGCTCAGCATTGAGATGTCGTCCATGTATACAGCCATCCGGTTTTCCTTGACCAAATCGTACAAATTCATTTTTAACTTGCAGTTCAGTCAAGGCCTTAAAAACAGTAAAAGTCATGGTGGTATGCTCAAGCTTTGCGCGTGCGATTATGGAGTGCACTTTTATGCCTGTCAGAAGGGTGATTGGGGATTCATAAGAGTGTGTGTGAAGAAATATGTCAACCTGGTTGTTGGTCCGCCCCAGTACTCAACTTGAGACAGCAAGAACTTCTGCCTCACACTTATCTTCTTCACGAGCTTTTAGATAGAGCGCATGCACTATCTTTGGTCATTTTCCGGTATCAAGACCGGGTTGTGCCGACCGTTGCCTGCCGATTGCTGAAGTCTTGCCTTTGCCCAACAGACCGTCTACCGGTCGCTCAATCTGCTTACAAATTATGCATCTCTACCAGCCATGGAGCAGTCGCCTTCACTAATGGCCACCGACGACCCGTTAGGTGTTGGCCCACGGCATACGTGCATGGCCAGAGGGCTTTTTACCATCCTGTTGCTCCCCAAAATCAAAATCTTGAATTACCAACTAACTTTGCTGACACCATACCACAGTTGTGATGACTTTTCGCTGCATCATCAGCCACTGGATGAACGGAAAACAGATTTATCGAACGACTTGGTCAAATAAGCTGTAACGGCCCAGCGAAGTTCCCCGTAAGGAGACAAATACCTCCAGACATTACAAAAACATGATACCAAGTAAGTGACTCTTGTCTAAAAGAACTCCCGCCTTGCACTCAGAAGCAAAAGTTCTCGGCGTAAGAGAAGAGGAACAAACAGGGTACAGAGACAGCTGATGGAGGTGTAGCTACATTCTGGAAGCACTCGGAACATTCGCAGCTAGTACCACATACCAACTCGCGCACAATACACAACATTGAGCCGTATTTTATCAAGCTAACAGTACTCTGCAATAAATGAAATATACTAGCAAACAAACCAAATAGTCAATTCTTGACCAATCGGTAAATGAATATAATTAGTGTAGCAAAACATATTTTAGTGTAGCTCAGCTCGCTACCTACCTTGCCGCCGTGAGCTAGCTTTACTCTAGAGGAAATGCCACGAACGAACTATCAAGCCAAAAAACACTTATTCATGACCTCTTAATTCAATTTAACTAGTGTGTTAGAAATTCATCAAGGGTAGCTTAGCCTGCTGCAGATCATGTCCCGCAGGTACTAAAGGGACTTACTTTCCCCTTTCTTCTTTTCCACGGCACACTACCTCTGCTTCATCTCTAGCTGCGTCCATACTTCGCTATTTAGTGCAGCAGTATTATTTCCTGAAGCTCCTTCCCTTGCAAAAGTTCCAGCCGAATGCCCTCGAACTTAAATGAGGGAAACACCATTTAGAGGGCAGACTTCTGGTACAAATAGCTGGCCGTTTTGCGTACCGAGAAATGCGCACAAATATTTTTGACCTCCTCGATTGGTTTGCAGGGTGCATATGCAGAGACATTATAGGAGCGTTTTTCAGATCTTCTGGGGCCCCACACGATACAGGGGCCCAGCGGGTCGCGGTTACCACGCTGTGATACGAGCTCCGGAAGTCTGTTTAGGGAGACTTCACTAAAAAAATTTTCTTCACGCTGTTGCTTCATCATGGAGAAATTGCAGAGCATTTTGTTTTACGGTGTCCCCCAAAGAATTATTTGAAATGTGCCTAAACGGTGAACTGGACGGAGTAAGAGAGAAACAGTAAGCAAAACAGAGATCAGGACGGAAATTTAGGAAGAGGGGCATCAAGGAAAGTCGAACTACGAGTCAATGGAAGGAGAGAAACACATTTAAAGGGAGGCACAGCATGGGCGCGCAGCGAGGGCCCCGTACCCAGTGATGGTCGGCTCCACTACAGACCCCCCTTTGCTTGTTCCAGAGGCCATGCTTCATGCTTAAGGGACCAGACACTCCTAAAAGGCGGAGCCGCCCCCCTGTGTTTTTAAAATGGGGATTAGGGGCATCCCAAAAGTGGAGGCCCTCAAACGGAGCAGCGGAGCTTCAGCAATGGGAGCAGGCAAGAAGACGCGTTTTAGCTCATGGGCAACGTTTCCAGGCGCTACCGAAGCAGCCAGAAGAAAAGAAACAACTGGAGCAGCGTCTGAGGCGTGCTTGAGCCCTTCTACTTCCACCTCCTCAACAGCTCCTGCATCGACTCCTCTCTTTCTCGGCCACTGCGATAGCGGAATGATCAGCGACTCAGAATCCACACACTCAAGCGCCCATCTGTACCATTTACCTGCTGTCTCGGATTCCAATGGTGCTCCTACCGCGGATTATGCTGCTAGCAACAGTACCAAAGACGAAGGAAGGGATCGGCGTACACTGTGGGCCCCTGATAGTTGGCGGGTGAGGTCTCCAACCATATAGCGACTTCCTCGTACACGAAACATTGTGCATAATATAAAGCTGATGCCTTCTAGGAGTCCCATGTGATGTCTATGTGGCCTTCTAGGCGTTTACCGTATTGCACAGTCTTTCCAGATTGCAGCCACAAGGAAAATTGCGATGGTAGTTGGTATGGCTGTCATTCTCCGCCCTGATTTTTTGGTTGTTTGGTATTCTGTTTTTCCGACTTCAGAGTCTACCCGCAGCTCAAGACCCCTTTGCGTCACTGCCAGCTTCAGCGGTCACCGGGGTGTGCAGACAGCTGCGTTTACTGCCGCCCCTCATTTCCACCAACGAGGTGAAATCACTTCTCTCCGCTCTCTCGAAGGCACAGAATGGAGAGGCCTTTCTGCTTCAGGGAGGCCCCTGTGCCGAGCAATTCCGTGGCTGCAGAGAAGAGATACTTCGCGATACTGCCGGACTCCTCTTGCATGTGGGGGCGGTAATGGAGGCCCAGCTTAAACTGCCCGTATGCATTGTTGGCCGCATTGCAGGACAGTATGGGAAACCTCGGTACGTCCAGATGCTTCAGAGTTCCTGCGTGAACTTTGGATAAAAGCGTGGGGAAATTACATGTTAGCGTAGCCAGCAACATGTTTCTTTGTGCTTTTTCCCGCAGCCAAGATATATCTCTCTGCTGTGTTTTGCTGTATTGCTAACATTTTTTTGATTCATACTTCTCATGCAGGACAAATAGCATGGAAAAGCGAGGAGACCAGGCGGTGCCGACCTACAGAGGAGACGCTGTAAATGGAGAATGCCCCAGCGAAAGGGTCTGTTTTTTTGCCTTTATCTCTGCCTATCTCCTTCTGCGTTGGTGTTGCTTTTTCACGTTGAGCACCTTGGTTTTATTGGCATCTTTTTGAATATCTTAATGACTTTCCATGTTTGCGTGCTGCAGACTCCGAACGCAGACCGCATGCTCTCCGGTAGGGTCAACGAAAGGTGTATGCATATGTATATTTCTCTATGCGCGTCATAACTTTTTTGCGCTCTTACTTCTGCCTTGCCTTAGTCTATATATAGGCCGCTTGTAAGCCCCCTAGGTGCGGATTATCGACTCTTTCAGGTTTGTCATCATTCTCGCTTTCAGTGTCTCTGCTTTTGCCGTCTCTGCTTCTGCCCCATCTACTACTTAGTGCCCTCTCTTCCTTTTAGCTTGCACTTTTACTGTATTTTCCCAGCACGGTGATGCAGCGGCTTTTGCCGCTGTGCTTCCTCTTTTCTCACCCCATTGCCAGCTTGTTGGTGTCTTCGTACTCTCACCTTCTTCCCTGCCTCTCGCCCTCGGCATGGCTGGCTTTTCTGCGCACGCAACTATTGAATAGCAGCTCTTCAGATTTCAGTAGCCTATTGATGCCTGAACTCATACTCATGGGTTGAAGTTAGACGAAGATACAGTATCCATGAAGGAGGTCGAGCGAGAGAGCGAGCCAATGGGTAGAACAATGTATGTGTTGCTATGCGTAGCGTACTTTCATTCGGCCGCCACCCTCAACTTCCTCAGACATTTGATCGCAGGTGCGCTGACATACTTGTTTTGTGGGGGCCGGAATGGGGTGGGGAAGATTAATTTGCAAAGGAAAGGGACAGCTACATAGACAAAAAGCACGCATCCGCAGCTGCTAGGAAGGCAGAAGGAGTCAGAAGACAGAGAAATAAAGCGGATTTTCCTAGATTTTTCTCTGTCGGTATTTCTGAAGCGGAAGGAAACTGGCATTCGTCTTTATGGACTCCAAGGTCCACGCTCAATCAGCACAGACGGTGAGATCTCTGATGGGTATCTTGAACCTCTCTGTGTGCCCTTGTGTGGTTGCCATTGTGCCTCCCTCCGTTCTTCTCTCGCTGCTTCATTCAGTTTCCATTCATGTGCCAGTATGTATGTCATGCCGTTTAGCTATTTTGCCTGTGCACCTGCTTTTTTCGGCCAATCAACTAGATGGTGCTGATGCGCGTCAGTGTTTTTGTATTCAAGTGTTTTGCTATCCTTTAGGTGCCCTCTCTCTACACGCAAGCACTATATGTTTCTGTGTAATTTGGCGTCTGATTCTTCACAACAGTCTTGATCCCTGTCTCCGGTTTGACCGTGCTTTTAATTGCTTTCCTTTGCCGACACCCAGTTGAATCTGACGAATCGCATGGTTCTCCCCTTCATGCTCCTCTGTGGCTTTCCCAAGGTATTATGTGGCGACGGGATGAGAACATCCTGTGCATACTTTGGCCTTCCTTCCAGCATGCGAGAATCCAAAGAGAAACTAGGATAGCAACGCCTAAATCCCAGTGAAGGGGACAGGGTTTGTTTTTTGAACCCGGAACATAAAATATCTCTGTCGTTTTGTTTGTGCATGCACCACAGGGAACATCTTTGCCGGGTCTTCGAGGCCTGTAGAAAGCGGGCTCAGACACACAGCAGCGCAGATTTGGTGCCTCACGTGCAGAAAAAGCCATCCGGTACAGAGGAAACGAACAGGCGGGCACCGGATCCTCAGACACGCGAAAATTATCCAGTTGAAACTCACAATGACAGAGGAACAGGGGAAGGAGTCAGAGATGTAAAACTACAGATCAGACGGACGGGAGAGGCAGCAGAAGACAGGGATACTACGGGAGTACCCTTGCCGATGGACGCAGCGGTGAGACCTTACAGCCCTTATGGCCTTGTCTGTGCTGCTCTGTCTTGCTCTGCTCCACACGCAGCTTTGTGTTTATGTGACTTGTGCACGGCTGCAGCCACGAATATACACGTCGCATGAGGCAATCTTGCTTCCATATGAAGAGGCCCTTGCCAGACCTGTCCCCAACTCTTCGTCTGTACGTTTTCCACCCTTCCCGCACCTGAGTTCCTTACTGTACTAAAAGGGAGCTTCCCTGTGTCTTTATGGTCCACTTTCTCAAGTTTTGACGCTTAATTCAAGTTGCTCGTACGTACAGACGCTGGCAACGAGTGCTCATTTTCTCTGGATTGGAGACAGGACACGCCAACTCGAGTTTGCTCATGTGGAGTTCTGCCGGTAAGGAATTTCCTGGGGCATACCGGGATGCACGACCTGTATGCGACTCACTTGACAGTCAGAAGCCAACAGTGGCCTTTCTGTATCCAAGTTTTGTGTAGGCGGTGCTTCTCTCAGTAGTTTTTATCAGCCTATATAGGGTTTCCTTCTTACCCCTGCAGGGGCTTAATGAACCCCATAGGCATCAAGGTGGGCCCTACTACAAAGCCTGCGGAGCTGGTATTCCTCTGTGAGCGCCTCAACCCCCACAATCAGCCAGGAAAAGTGTCTTTGATTACTAGGTAAGATTTTAAGTCTTTATATATATTTCTTGTCCCAGTGCAGCATCTGGTACAATCTCCATACTGTGCTGTAGTGTGCAGGGGTTCAGGCACTTATGCTATTTGGGTTGTACTTGCGTCTCATCCAGTAATTTCGGAATTCGCTATTCTATTGTCGATTTCAAATGTCGTTGCCAATTAATTGCCTGGTAAAACTACAGCTGTGTGTCTGCCTCTCAATAGACTGGGTGTTGAAAACGTGAGGAGGTGTTTGCCGGATCTGGTGGATGCGGTACATGAGGTACGTTTTTTAGGATAACATCGCTGCATGCGTCTCTTTGTATGGCTTACCCTTGTTCCCGAATCTCGAAAGACGTTCTGTTTTGTTATACCAGTGTTGCTGTGTGTCCTTTCGCCGTTTTCCTTTGGTTTTCATGCACAAAATGACGTGCCTGCCTCGGTGTATTGTTTGCTTGGTGCCTCGCACACCGGGAGTCAACTGTGCACTGCTGGCTGGACACCAACGAAATTAATAATGAAGCGACCTGCACTTTTACGTGTAATGAGTTGTTCCATTGAGTTTTGCACTCCAGTTCACCAAAAGGAAGGCTTGTCATTGTTCAAAGTTGATAGCCCTTATCCGTGTGTGGCACCATTTACTTGCTTTGTGGCTTCCTGCAGGCTGCAGTACCCGTGTTGTGGGTGTGTGACCCAATGCATGGCAACACACGCGTTAGCTCCCAGGGAGAGAAGCAGAGACAATTCCAAGATGTAATGGCCGAAATTCAATTAGTGGCCGCCGTCCTCGCCGAAAAGGGTGACAGACTTGGGGGTCTACATCTAGAACTCACTGGTAAGCAACGCAAGGCCGTATGTCCCAACCACGTGCGTTTGCCGCCTTAATACATGTATGCATACGTAATAGCATCTTGATATTGATGTGGCATTCCCAGGGGAAGACGTTTTAGAGTGCTTGGGGGGTCCTATCAGCCCAGATTGTCCCCCTCTCACCCCGCCCGTGTGCGACCCCCGACTCAACTACCACCAGTCTCTTGAGATTGCCTTTTCTATCGGCAACCTCATTGGGGCTTCCAATCGACGCGCAGAAATTGACCCTTAATAGGTGATGCCTGGAAAGAGGGCACCAGAGGATCCAATTCTCCGGTTTGCGCTAGAAAGTAGGGCGGAGAGAAGCTAGTCGAGATGCCTACGACAGCTGGGTAACCAACCAGCCAAGAGGCTGTTCAGTCAATGTTTCTGGTGAACCAGAGATATTTGTGCATTTAGACGTAATCCAAGCTATCTAACTGACCAGCTAGCTCGTGCCAAGTTCAATGAAAAGTTGGCTGGATACACTACAAGTATCAAACTGCAAGCGGTTAGGGGTCAGTGGTTTTCCGAAATCCAAAGAGAGTGAACTCTAATATTCCAAACCCTCATACCTGTAGATGTTCCTATCGCAACCCTTTGCTTATCGCTAGCAGACCTCTACCTGCGAAACTTTTCGCTGCAACAGTAGTCGAAAGTTTTACGGAACCCCATGGACCCCCTCAAGTGCATCAAGTTGCCATTAAAAAATTAGTCTCTTGTCTAGTCTTTAATTGTCTCCATCTGATTCTTCAGAGCCGCTGGAGATTTGCTGTAGGAAAACGCAACACAAATAGCAGCCGACTTTTAGCAATTTGTCTGCTGAACTCGCTGGTCAGAGAGCGGCGGTGGGTTACACTTCCATATACTCCAGCAGATGCCCTTAACAGGCAATGGCACCATCCACAAGCCAAGCATAACGGCTTCAGATACATCGAACGGGAGAGTTCACGATGATACGCCTCAAATTTAACAAAGCAAAACAGCATATTGAAATGGAGCAAGAGGAAGCAAGGAAAAAAGAAATAGCGATTGGGTCGAGCGGCTGGGTCGGGAATTTGGCCAGTGTATGAATGAGATGAAGCGAGACGATTAAAGATTATATGGGTAAGGGAAAACCAAGATATTGTACATAGAGATGGACATGCGAGAGCTGTGAATGTTGTAGACAGCAAACGAATGCCCACCGCAATAAGATTGTCGCAGACTTTGTGCTTCAGCATGAGCTTCGCGAGTGTCGCTGTTTTGAAGTCATCAACGCCGCCTAACTCCGTGAAGCCCACTACTGAGTGCACGGCCACCCCGTCGATAAAAAATACCAGCGTAGGCAGCGAACGGATCTGCAGCTTGGTGCTAAAGAACGGCGCCTTCTCTGCGTTCATCCTAACCGACCCACGAAACAGAAACCCACAGCCGTAAATGGAAAGCTGTGCTGCGGTGTCAATGAACAAAGCTCCAAATCCCACACCCCATGCTTTGTCTTTTGCGCCAATTCCTAAATCCCCCGTTCTAGCCACAAAGTTTATCGTTAAGTTCCTGCACGTTTAGCTGCAAACTCGACATTTCAATGTGATACAAGGGCTAATAGAGAGGCCTAGAAGCTCTCACTTGAAGATTCGGGTCTCGGGGTGGGCCTTGGCGAGGATCTCCAAATGCTTATCCATGATGCGGCATCGCTCAAACCGGGGGCTGTAGAAGTGGCAGACCTGAATCACATAACACACGTGAGCATATTCGTTCATCTATTATCTCTTTAGCTTAATGATTTACGGTCGATTTTATTTCCTCAACCCCCTTCAGGGCACCTCTGCTTCAGATCGAAGGTTCACGTGCGTTCAGGATTTAAGGCTTACTGCTCTAGGCGCAGGTGTCACGACCCCTAGGAATTCCGTTTCCGGTATATCTGAGTACTCCCCATGTCCCTTTTCTCTCAGTGAGGTCTGTCGCTGTCTTGCGAGCTGCGACATTACGAGAAGACAGCTGGCAAAAAGATCATGGACTTTAAGAGACGCACTTGTCAGGCCCCTCAGAGTGAGCCAAAAGCGTCCAGCCTAGGCCTAGGAGGGACAGACTATGTGGCAGAGGACACGAACTTGCCTTCAGCTGCTGCATTCTCTTTTCCCTCCAGTGAGAGAGATCGTCAAATCCCTCACCGTCCGGTTCCTCCTCATCTGCAACACAAATAGATGCACAAGAGCCTTAGCACTGCACTTGCTTGCTTGTTACGCAGGTGCATATTAATGCCGTTCTTCTGAACCCACAAATTCAATGTGCTCGGTGAAAGGTGGCAGATATTGCATAGATACAGTGGTGTTATCATCGAGTGTAGATGTAACCCGTTTTTGTCAGGGATTCCAGGAAGCAAGCAACAGAGAACTCTCACCTTTTTCTTGATTTTGTGACCCTGCTGATCCGTTCTTTTGAGGGTCGTGCACACGGTGCAACTGTTGCTGCTTTAAAGCAGAAAACTTGTCTTTAGCTGCCTTCTCCTGCGAAAGCAGCGAACAAGCCTCACTAAGGTTGCTGTGATGCAGCAGCACCAACAAGTATAGTACAATGAACTGGAGAAGCACTCCCTACTTATACATAAACTAAACGGTGAGACCTTGAGTCCTGTGAAACCCACACCCATAAACAGAGCTGGGAGTCACGGGGCATACCAAAACTATATTCGTGGCGATTTGTGTGAGCTTGTCTGAAGTCTCCATTCTTGCGAGGCCAAAAAATCGTGCTGGAGGGTTTTTGCTATGGAGCAACGCACACCACGCTATAGACCCCCTGAGGGAGGCTGGGACACGTTCGTCCGAGCGTAGCGGAAGCCGACGGGAGTAAGGGGCTTGATTAAAGAGTAAAAGAAGACAGATAAAAGAGGTGGAATCCGTGACTAGTGTTCATGGACGCTGAAAGGAAAATGTAGACATGGATCTACACCTCGAACAATTCAGCAACATCATGAAGGGGAAACGGGGTGGGTTAATACACACTCTCTATGCTGATCTGCGGCGTAAATGCATTTTCTCTGTATTTAAGTGCTTGGGAAAACAACACACCTTCGCAGTGTTGCAGTACAGCTGCAGGCACTCCCGGAATGAGGGCGTGCCACAGGGCTGTAGTACAGCGACCCTGATTGCCGAGCCGATGTGCGTGAGGCTTCAATAGAGTTCGAGAACTGTTTGTGGCAAACAACCTGCTCTACTGTTTTTTTGACTTCTTGTACTTGAATAGCTCACCACTACCGCGGTGATAGGAGTAAAATTTGGTAAATAACTACTGCGCCTGTTCCCTGGGGCCCTTGAAACCAGTGTGGCGGGAGGCGCCGACCCTAGACAATCTTAAAAAAACATCTTCACAGGGATCGTATTAAGACGCGTACGTAGCGTTCTGCGTATAGAAAGGAGAAAATAAGTCTGCCTTTTCTCGCCGAAGACATCCCAAGTGTCCACGAACACTAAATCTGGTGTGCAGTAACGATTGCTACAAACGTTTTCCCGCGCGACAGCTAAGATGCAGCGACGGAGCAGCTGCTTAAGCCGCAACAGAAGGCGTAAGCAATTCAATGTAGGTATAGTGTAAAGGGTCCATTGCACAGCAAAGGCACTCGGAACTACAAAAAATGGCGAGCTCATGACACCCAAAGACTTTGCTGTTCCGACCTCAGGCCGCTGACTCTTCAAGCAGTGTTTCGGTTCCACCGCAGTAGACGTGATCTGGTGGCAAGAGAAAAGCCCTCACACCACCGTGGACTCCCTGCCTTTCCCTGTGGCAGTTGCGGGTCCACACCGCGCAGGCACTCTCTAGAATTGGGGAAACTTGCCTCCCCCGCTGCTACTGCTGCTGCTTGCTCTGATTGCTGAAAACAATCTGCATTGTCGCCCCCATCTCTGCTGAATAACAAGTCGTGATACTGCTGCAGCTCTTGCTGACACACCGTAGACATTGTTTCTGCACACACAGTGTCTGTGGACTTCCCAGGATTTCCCGAGCAAAAAGAGTCCCCAGAATAATTTTCTCTGGCTGTCACTTCGATAGCATCTGGATGTAGCTCCGTAAAAGCTCTTTCCGGAGGTCGATCTAGGGTCCGGCTACTTGAGGCTGCCCGGAGGGCACTCTTGAAGGACCCCGCTGCCGCTCCTTTACTGTCAAAAGGGAGGGCAGCGCCTGCTTTGGGGGCTGCCTTGTTAGCCATCCGCCACGCTGGAAGCTGGGAAGTGTCCTTCCTGAACCTCTTTCTGTCTCCCTTAAGATTCGTTTGGAGAACACATACAGGCCGAAGGCATCTAAGTACTTTGGTTGTGCTCGATTCAGCTCCGCAGGTAGATAAATCACCTTGCTGCTGTTGTTGCTTCCTCAGCCAACCCGAAGCCGCCGCTTTCGATGCTTTTTGTGCTACGGCCGCTGACGCCACTGCAGGCACCGCTAGTGCTGGAAGACAAGGACAATCCTGCTGATCCGGTTGCTGTGGGGTCACCTCGAACATGGGTGTTTGGCGTACACGATCGTCCTTTTGTTGCTGCACCTGGTGCTGCGGTTGCAGCACAGGAGCAACAGGTGCAGAAGTCGCTCCGCGGGTGTCACTGGTATTATCTTTGCTTCTTACAGGCTGTGAGGCTAGTTCTATTGCTTCACAAATCGCAGCGAATCGGGCCACAGCTGAGGCCTTTTGACGCTGGGTTCCCCTGGGCCTTTCTGTCTCCTGCCCCCTTAGGTCCACCTTCGAAACCACGCAGCCTAAAGCCCCCCCAGAAGCCTCGTGCGTGCCCCTTTCTTCCGCTGAAGCTTTCAACGGGCTTAGGGTCTGGAATGACTCGCTCTTGTCGGGATAGAAACAAGGATCTGCCGCACAGCCCTTTGCCAATGGTTGTGGAAGTCCAGATGGTTCTGCACCAAGAGTCGAAGGGCGCGACCCTCCAGCACTAGATAATGCGCATGAAGCAGCTTCAAAATCTCCTGATGGCTGCTGGGTTTCTTCTTCCCGAAGAACCTGCAGTGGCTGCTCATACTGCAACTGTTGCCACGATAAATGGGCTACGACCTCTTGCTGTAGATTCTGCAGCTGGATGTCCTTTGAGGCGAAGAGAGCATCTGGCGTGAACACAGAGCCACTGATCACAGAGATCGCTACTTGCCGCTCCCGCGCGAGCAGCAACCGCACCCCTCCTATAAGAAGTGCCCTCTGCCTGTCCTTCTGGTGGTGCTCTGATTGGATCTGTTGGAACTGCACTTTTTGTTGTGGCGGTAGGTTTTGTTGCTGCTGATGAAGCGCAGCAGCAACTATCTGCAGCACCAACAGTAGTGCCTTCTTCCTTGGCTCATCCAATATATCCTCTCCAGGCCCCAAAAAGATGCAGCATGCCCTGCAGAGGGGGGGCCCCCAGGGAGGACCCCCCAGAAAGGGGCTTAGTGCTGCTGCAACCGCTGTAGCTGCAGTGGCTACATCTGACTGCACAGGCAGCTGTGTTGTCTTCGAATGGGAGGCAAGACTGAGGGCTTCCTCTGCAACCTTGTCAAGGGTGCCGTGGAGCCCGACCAGACAGAGGGAAAATCCTCCCCCGCCCCTGCAGCATCAGCAACACCAGCAGGACGTCTAGAAGAACTGACAGTAAAAGATCAGAAGAGCAGAGGTCTCAAAATCACAAACAATAGCATTTGCGCTAAGAGGATGAGCACCGTTAGCAGTGCAAGAAGGCAACAAACGCACCAAAAGAGCTGTGCAAGCCGCCTGTGCGCAGCAGTACTCAGCGAGAGGGCCAGGCATCCCGCAAAGAGCTGCCCCCTTATTCTTTCTGTTGGGTCCTTCACGTATGCACACAAAGAGGCTGGAACACAAGAACTGGCAGGAGATATCCGCCTCAGCGCAGCCACTAAGCATTCGTGAGGCGGTTGGTGTGAATACTCTTCGCCCTGTACACAGCACTCGCTGCCGCTGTCACCAGTAGCAGATGCGGCAGCGAGGTGCAATACGAGGAACCGCCAGTCCGTCTCTGCGTCTTTAATTAGCAAGAAATCATTGGTAGAGCCTTCTAGGAGTCCTCCGTCCGAGGGAAGCCTCTGCGCAGCCGAGTCCTTTAGGAGACGGCACACATGCTCTGCTTTAGCCTGGGAGATCCTAGCGGCTAAGTACACCCCTCGGCTGCTGCCACTCTTTTCGCTGTCGCCTCCTTTTAAAAGTATATCTATGACAGCGGAAAGCTGCACCAGGGGCTTGTTGCAGAGGACGCATAGAAGCAGAGGCAAAGAAGGTGCAGGCGACGAAGAAGACAAAAGGAGGCAGCAGCAGGACGAATGGAATCGGGGGGCCACAAGATACAGGCCTGCATAGAAAAGCAGACACGGAAATCAGAGAGAGGAGGCATAGAGGAACAACACAGCCACCACAGCACGCGCCACAGACAGCAGGAGTAGCAAAAGCAGTGACGCGCTCACCCGCTTTATGGCAGGCCCGCACACACTTCAAAAGCTTCCCTCTTCCTGCTTCTTCCTGGTGCTGCACATGACTTTCTTCCTCTACTCGCAGCTTAGGTGTGACGTCTGGGTTTCTGTCCAAGCAGAGGGAGGTGGGCGAGAAGGAAACAAGTAATGAGAGCGCAGGGTCACCTGCTAGCTCAAGAAGGTCTCCCGGGAAAACCTCTGCATACCCCGTATGTAGCAGCCAGGCTGCCTGCTGCTGCTGCTGTCGTTGCTCTATCTCCAAATCCTGATGATGCATCAGCAGCTTGTGCTGCTGCTGCTGCTGCCGTTGTTGCTGTTCCTTCAGAACGGTCCCAAACAACACGCCATTAATCAACGTTCCGTTAGGCGAGGCATTTCGGACAAAAAATCGACCAGCCCTTCTTGAAGGAAACCTCAGAAGCTCTATGTGCTTTTCGGATGCCACAGGGACCCCTGCAGATCTGCTGTCTCCCGCTTCAGACGAACTTTTCCCGTCGAACAACTCCGTAGGTAGCAGTGTGTCCCTTAGGGAGGGAGGCAAAACTCGCAAGAACAAGTGCTTTCTGCTGCATGTGGGAGAAACAAGCCGCACTGCGCAGTCAGACCCACGCCCCACCGCAAAAGCGGAGTCTTCTAGAGGTCCCCATGAAGAGCAACCACTAGGGGAGACCCCTGGGAGGGACCCCACACAAGCACAAGTGAATGACGCGCAACAGTTCGGGAGGGAGAGGCCGCAAGAGGCGCACGGATGTGGCAAGTGCGCTGGAGGGAGGGGAGGGACTGCCCAGACGTCGCCAGTTGCGAGGTGAATGAGTCGCCAACTCATGAGGCCTAGGAGCCCTTTGATCCTAAACCCTACGCTTCAGACGCTCAGCCATACTTCTATGTCTGGAATGCTTCATAATGTGGTCCCAAACTACTGATAGATAGCAAAAAAATCTAATGCATTCCCCTGGATTTCTAAAAGGACCTTGAAGGAACAGAACTAGGCCCTCTACGAAACACACATGGGGGTACTCGCCGGTGGTAGTCGCCTTATTTCCCTATCCAACCGCCATATAAACTTTGCCATAGAATCTCTGACTCCTTTAAAACAAAAGGAGAACAAACAAAAAATGCATACATGGGAACAAGGGGGCCCAATGTGGGCGCCATTTGCAGGAGGTCCATCAATCGCGATAGGCCCTTACCTGGCACTACACTTCGTTACCTGCTTAACGCAGAGCCCCAGAGCCTTCCATACGTTAATAGAGAATAGGGTTACTTGTTTGCGTACTTTTTCGTGTGGAAGTACATGCATGCAAAACGCTGCAGCCCTGCCCATTGTATGGGCAGTGTACTCTGGGGTGGGGTTGCTCAATCATTGCTTATTTCTGTCCCTCTGTGCCCCTGCTGGTCTCTCTCTCTTTCTCTTCATCGGCGTCTAAATCTTTCCCTTTAAAATTCCTTTATTCGCGCATGCTTATGTCTTCTCCTTCGTGCCTGCTTTTTCGTGTCTACCACAGTGTATGTTTTCCCTCCCCCCTCTCCGCGCTATCCTGGACAGACACTCGCAGATCTGCACACGTTTTGGCTATTTACCAATTAATAGAAACAATGTGCATGCCTTACCCCACCGCATGGGCTACACACACCTAGACTCTGTAAGTGTGCAATAGTTCGTTCAGTAGCTTTTGAAAAAGCAGGCCATCAGCAAACAAGAGAGCTTTTGCCCGTATAGTGAAGCTGCAAAGAACATTCCTTTAAAGTGTCACCCTAAAACTCAATAAACTTTAGGTTGAGCCTGGAGGAACCGAAGTCACATCCCAGCACACACGTTGTTTGGGACTGTAATTTAGCTACACCCATACACTATCTACTACGCTATTGGCTGCAATCAGCAAAGAATTGGTAATAGAGTGACTATTTGGTTTGTCCGCTTGTGTATCGTACTTTTTGCAGTGTAACATTGGATCGATATTATAACGCCAAGGGCTTTGTACACGTGCGTTAGATGCCATGGGCAACTGGATGTGAATGATGGGAGTGCTTAGAGGATGCAGCTACGCGCGGCCTAGTAGTGCCTCTCTCCTCATGGTAAGGCAGTGAAGGGTGAGGACAAACGAGGACGAAAGAGCTTTGAGTAGCACTGATTTAGGAATTCCTCAGGGTTCGGTGCGGGGTGTGTTCTTGTTGAGAACCTGAAGGCAGCACCGTATGGCTCCATGTAGCTACTCCACATTCACCTCAGCTTTCGCTGCAACACGTGCCTGGTTTTGATCAAATGACTTAATGATTCAATGCCCTGATTTGATCAGCAACAACCTGCCAGGAAGAGGCCCTCTGGCAATGAAATTTGACAGGCAGAACAACGCCTGAGGCAGCAGTTGCCCGTTCGCAAGCTGATCACTACGCGGTAACCCTACGGCTGACAGACAGGCATGGCTTGCCAACGATAGGAGGCTTTGGGAGGGGGGTATGCTAAGCATATAAGCATGACGGCCAAAAGGATGGGGCTAGTAATCCACGATTTCATCAGCTTGTTGGTGTTTTGTCTCATTTTAGAGTACCCCTTGAGGCAGAGAGGTGAGTTCTTCTTGAGGCGCGTTTTAAGGGTAAAGAAATACTGCAAAAGAGTCTCTAATGCATAGAAAGTTGTCAACTTGCAGGGATCACTATGGCGAAGCCTTTGTACGATCCTTGACTCACTGGATTTTGTCGACGGAAGCCCGACGAAAAGCTTTGAGATCAGTTCAAAGCTAAATTAGAGGAATCTGTGAAGCGATCCGTATACCTACAAACATAGAGTTTACCGTGCAAAAGAAACAACGCAGACGAGTACCTGCTTTATCAGTTGATTTGGCTCAGGTCTGCCTGAAGTTTCACGTCAGGTGGTCGCAGGATGGGCAGGCACTAAGGGATTAAACGGCTTACCGATGATAAGTCCACAACTAATTTAGTACTTTCGATATGAGGAACAAATGAGCGCATCACCATCGTTGTCAGCTCTGAGTTAGGGGTCAAATCATGATCTGGAGCCAGTTGCTGCCGGGGATATTTACACCGGCCCTAGCAGTCGAAGATGAACGCAAAAAAATGTGCCAAATGAAACTAGCAGTAATATGGATATACACATAGACTTCATCTACCGCGGAAGTGGCAGCACATGGAAAAAGGCAACCTAGTCCGAGCGGAAGTAAGATGCTTGACAAGCGAGGAAGGTGCATCATCATGAAAACGTCAAGCTCCCCAGGAAGGTGGCAACGCGGTGAACGAAGATAGAGCTACCGTTGGAGGCCTACCACGGCCAAATCCGGCGCCGACACAGGTTCACCCAAGTGGCCAATGGCGTCACATGATAGTGGATGTGAAATGGATCTGACACCCGAGGAGAAAGCGCAAAAACGCAGTCTGCCCGCCTACTCGTTGGAGCCGTCTTTAAGATCCAAGCTTGCTGAAGGGCGGGGTAACGCCAAGAATGGCAAAGCCACGGTAGTCATATGCCACTTCAATTCAACATGGGCTTTTGTCAGCATGCTCTGTAGCTTCTGTGTTGAACCTGTCCACCATGATGTAATCCCGAGTATCCCATGAATGACCCTATCGAAAACGCACGGGGCCACAGCTGTGCACTATGAAGGTCGATATAACAAACACATACAAAGAAATAACTACTGGTCTCCTCAAGAGAGGCCTTTTCATCTATGGCGAACGCGATAGAAATGGTTCCTAATTAGGTGAGACAAGGTCTTCATGCAGGTGGCTTAGCAACGCAGTAAGAGAAGACGGTTCGGAGTACACATACCGCCTTCAGTGCCTTCACAGCTGGTTCCGTTTTGTAATACTCCATTTAAGGTTAGCTAAGGAACATAAATAATAGACAAATTCCATCGAGGGTTTCGTGCAAGTCCTAAATAATGACGAAACGCCAGCAGATTGGCCACGTTCTGGTCTTCCAACGCACCGTGTTTAGGTAGACCCCACGTCAGCCCCAAGTCATGTTCCGCTGGATTGGAAACCCCCTGAACATGTAGGGGATTTAAGAGTAGCAGGCGTATGAATTGTGGAAAAAGGGTAAAGTGCAGGAATCAGTTAGCACGTTTGGGCCGAACTGGGGACTGATGGAGGAAAAAAACGGAAGATGGCGCATTTGCGTTAGTTTTATGCCTTTCAGCAACACCACTGTGAAGCAGAAGCTCCTGGTGCCTCATATTGGCGACTCACTTTAGAAAGAAACGAAACAACTGTATATTCAACTTTTGGCCTCACAAACACCTGAAAGATCGCCATTCACCTTCATGAGAGGCACCAAAAGGTGCTCCACATACGCACTTGCACTTTCGTGTTTGCTTGGACGCCGTTTCGACCTGTTGATGCCAGCTGAGCCGCAGCATCAAGCCAATCGGGACTTATATGAGCCCACCAAGGAGTAGTAAAGTACTGCCTGCGTGGACGACGTGGTAACAGTCAGCAGAAGTTTTTCAAAATACTTACAGCACCTACAGCGTGCGCTTCAACTATCGCAGGCCAGCAGTGGTAGATACAGGGACTCTAGTGTCTGCTCACCATGAGGAAGATGATGATACTGGCTTTCTGTGTTTAGGCTGCAGGAATGAAGCCAAGTCTGGCATCAATGAAGCACTGAAGGCGCGATATTCACGTTTACATACCCGCAAGGGCGTTGCGAAGTTCTATGGGTTTGCATCTTCTAACCGAATTTCATGCCTGGGTTTGCTGTGATTACTGCCCATTTGGTTGATACACACAAGAAATCACAGTCTGTGATTTGGGCCTAGGAAATCGATGGTGCAGCAAGGATGTATCTCTGTCCCCTTTTAGCCCCTCCGGTACTTGCACTGTCCAGTAATGAGCGTCATTTTTTTAGCCCTGGACCACCAGGTATTGGATCATGTCGGAAAAGGGCTTCTGAGTATAGACCAGGGAAGCAAGAAAACAATGGGTAAACAGGTTTACTTTCGTATTATAAGCTTACTGGGCGTAAGGAAGAACACGTAGAAAGCAGTTCGATTTATGTTGACATAGAGTTGCAAGCATTCAGAAAGAGTCCGGTCGTGGCGCTCTGTCTGTTCATCACCCTCAAACTGATTCGCAGTGCGTATATAATACTCAGCATGTGTGCTGATTCTAGTAATGTAGCGGTGAGTGCCGCTGGCTTGGGGACCTAATGCAGTGCGATGCACTAAGGGCGTCACCAACGTGGTCGCCGACGCGCCCTCACAATGCCCCAGCGATTCGCTGTTGCCCAGCGCACGTGCTTTTATCTCTGGTCAATGTTTGTCGAAATTGAATAATTTCCATGCTCATGACGCTTATGAAATCGCTCTTATTGTCAAAATATAGAGTTTCCAAAGGGAGGAGCTACCATGTTGAGAATGCCTGTTGTGCTTTTAAGAAAGCGAAACTCAGCCGCTTTTACGTTCCGTTATTCCTCGCTATGCCGTCCTACGCTGCACGCATTGTCATGATGCTTCGGGCCATCCCGCCATAGTGAACAAGCTCTCACGGTCCCTCCGGTGATGTGGGATGCATTTCAAGGCGGAAGAGTATGTGCTCCGATGCCCAGATTGTCAGCTACTAAAACCATTTAGTTCTCCTAAATCTATCCTCTTGCAAAGCCCTCCAGTTCCCGAAAGGATTTCGACTGAATTAACTGTGGAGTGTGCTGCCGGACTACCAGAGGCCAAGGGTAAGGATAGCATGTACGTTGTTCTTGGCAAGCTCTGCAAATATGACCCATTTCTTTCCTTGCTTCAGCTCTGTCACAACTCAAGATGCCTCTTACATATTTTAAATTCATACGTGGAATCCCCACAGATTCCTCAAAAG